GTTTAGAATATATTTGACATTTTTCAATGTCCATATCATAATAAGGTAGCCTTGAGGATAATATCCCTAAAATTTGTCTTATTAATGCTGTTGTTAATAATTAGCCTTACATTTGCACTATAATGCCTAAAATTGTGTATTACTTCTCTATGATGGCAAGCATGAAACAAAACCAAACAAATCCATAATCAAGAATCCAATCAAATGTTCTACACAATAATCAGGCCATCATCAAAATCTACTCCAATATTCATCTCATTATTGCCTTTATTCATAGAGTGTTTTGTACATTTATATTTGAAGTGACCATTCTTGTTGAAATACTGACATATAATATCGTTCATGTTCTTGGACTCACAACTCTTCCTTGAATTCGATCTTCCTCTACCGTTACCCCCACTATAAGTTTTTTTTGTCCCTAACCTCTTTACTTAACAGATTTTTGGAACCTCGCCTAATATCAAATCATTAATGCCTTATGGTAAGCTTAGTAGTTCTTGATGAACTCCTATACACCCTACATTCATTCTACCTATATCCTTGTCTAGGATTAAATTTTGAACACTTTAAGGTAATCTTGTACTCGTTGAAAAAAATACAAATTGTTGTAATTGTTCAAGACCAACTTCCAGGTAGTGAATATAATAACATCAACATATGGACTTCAACTTCAGATGTAATTTCAACTAATACTAACGTAGATAGTATTGAATTAAACTTATTTACATGATGCAACTTGGCTTCCTTCCTTCAACCTCATATATCAACTACTAAGTATTGAATCAAGAAACCTTATTATCTACCAAGGGTTTTTCATACATTAGCAACCAAGGGTTTTTCATATTGATCAGATCAAACATTATTTTCTTGTTGACTATGTAATAGGCAACATTCTTTGCCAACGAAAACCTTACCACATCAAGTGTATATCAATATAATAGATTCAGGTCCTCCTGCTTTATAGCTTCTGGTTTCTTTTAAGCCAATTGTTTGTGTAACCATGACAATCTTTGATTTGCATCTTCCAAAAGCCAAAATTATGACCTTCATATTTATTGATCTTAACCTTCCTAATTCAGGAACTATCTCTAATACCGTTGTTAGGAATACAAACATTCATAGACCGACAAACATAATAAAACGTAATTAAGATCTAAAAAAAAAAAAAAAAAACACTAGAGTTAACATGGTTCACACGATCAGAGTGATTGGCTAATCTACATATAAATTATAAAGACACAAATTTTATTAATCTTAGGCGTCAACATGCTATTCTGATTTTCACTCATATGCTTACGAATACACATTCATATCTATTTATACATTAAGTCAAGCCAACTGCAAACCACAAGGTATCAAGAGCTACTATAGCTTGGTTATATCGGCGTTCTAATCCGTAGGGCATGTTTGGCAAAAGTATCTAGAAGCTGGTAGCTGACCGGTGGCTGGTAGCTGGAGTATTTATTTATGCGTAAATGTTTGACAAAAGTAGTTGTTAGTCTTTTAATGTATAAAACTTAGATAAAAACTAAAACTAAAAACTCCCTAAAGCTACTTGAAGTGGCTTTTGAGTTTTTTTTTTGTTAAAAATAAACTAAAAGCTCATGATGAAAAACGAAAGTTTATCTTTTTTTTTTTGAACTTTTTCTTAAAAGCTAAAAGCTCATAAAAGTTCCGTATGAATTACTCTGATAATGTTACACCATTTCTATAATTTATAACCCTAACGCCTTGTTCCTGAGGTTTTTTTTTTAAATAAAGGAAAGGAAAGAAAAATATTGACAGAAAGGAAGGGAGGGGAAGGAAAATTTTCTTTATTCCTTGTTCCCGAGTTCGAAGGAAATGAAAGGAAAATTTTAGGTTTTTGTGTTCCCGAGTTAAAAGGAAAAAGAAAATAAAACATAAAAATTTTCCTTCCCCTCACTTCCTTTTTAAATCCGCCCATTTTGGGAGGAAAATTGAAAGAACCCCTTTCTATACTTTCATATTTCTGAAAGACCCAACTTTCATACCTGACAATATAGTTACTCCAAAGCATGCTACATGCATATTCATAAAACAATATTTTTACATTGATAAAGTCATTACAAAAGATTGGATACAAACCGACTATGTTTTAATATTTTACATAACTACCCAGGATATTGTAAATCTATACAAACCTAACCAAATACAAAAAAATAATATTACAACTATTCTAAGTCTTCCAACTATACTGGGTGCTTATAGCCTGCATTATGTTAAAACATTGGGAGGGGTAAGCGATAACGCTTAGTGAGTTCAATAATAGATACAATATAACGTTATGCCATATATATATACCAATATGGCAGAAGCAAATAGGAGCAAGGAACAACAAAGGCATAATGTGATAAGCTTTCCCTAACAACCATTGATTTGATTCAAAGATATACAATCATTAAGACATAACAATTTCCATACTTGATATACATCAATAACGCTTTGGCCCAAATGGCACAGAAGACAAACAATTTCTGATTAACATTAAGGTAGATTTCAGGTTTTCACGCCCTGTCTAACCATATGCCAATGCCATAGAATAGAGTCATTCACTTACTGGGGGACATGCTCTACCTGGCCAGAGGCTACATACCAGTGCCACTGTGAATCTGAGTTCTTAAACTGATCACATGGTCAAAGGTATAGCTTTGCTATCATAAATAGCAGAAATAAAAATAACACGGGAAAATACTCAGGAATAACATTCTACCGAAGCCAAAGTGATGCCTATGTCATACACTTCATGGTCAACGGTTCATACCAATACCCAAGTGATGCCTATGTCATACACTTCAAGTCAGAGGTACAACCTTGCTATAAAAATAGCGGATACAACAACTCGAGATGATAACATGGAAAAGCACATAGCACATATAACACATAACATACAATTGTTTCTACATATTAAACTCACCGTGAAATAACCGGGGGTCAAAATAGTAATTCGGGCAGCACTTCGGCTCTAAATATGACTTTCGTCGTTGAAAACCGGGCCCTGCGAGGGTTGGGCTTCGAAACCGAAAAGATAAATTTTCCGGGTCTTCGGGCACCTCGGGGCGTGTTTCGGGTGCTAAAGTTGATACCGGGGCTTCGAGAGAAATCAAAATGGTAAAAATATTGAAAAGGGGTGAAAAAGTGGCAAAAATAAACTTTTCCTCGGCAAGGCTCGCAGGCACTATTTATAGTGTGCGAGCCGGAGTCTTCTGATCCGAGAAGTAGCGAGTCAGCAGCGACGTGGCATCAGGAGGCGAAGGGCACGCGGCAGCAACAGAGCGAAGCAGGTGGCGCGCATGCGAGGGGCCGGGTGCGAGGCTCCGAAGTGTGACACGGGGCGAGGCGCGTCGGACGCGCATTGGACCGAAGCTCTGGGCGAACCGGACTGCGACGCGTGTCGGACACGAGGCGTGATTTCGCGAGGGTGACGTGGCCGACTCCAATCCATGCGAATTTCTCGGAAATTGTGCCCCGACCTTCTAAAATCCGTAACTTTTGCATACGGGCTCCGTTTTTGACGTTCTTTATATGCACGCGTAGAGAAAATTATGCTCTACAACTTTCATTTAGACTTCGTCGGAAAATTTTGATTTTATTTTTATATTATTATTTTTAACAGACCGGGACTGGTAAATCCGTTAAAAATTCATAACTTCTTTATCAGACGTCCGTTTTCGTCAGACTTTTTACCGTTGTACTGCTAATGACGAGACCTTCGATTCTCGTTTAGGTTGTGTCGGCTAAAAATCACTCGATCTAAAATTCGAGTTTTTAGCTGTCTACTGCTAAGCTGAAACTTGTAAAAATCATAACTTACTCATACGAAGTCAGATTTTGGCGTTCTTTTTATCAAAATTCTCGGTTTAACGAATACTACGACTTTCATTTAGATCACTAAGGCTAAAAAGTAGTTTATCAAAAACTCACTTTTTACGTCATTCGACACCGTGCTGGTTTTATCGCGGATCTTCGATTAGTCATAACTTCTTCGTTATAACTCGGATTTCGACGAGGTTTTCGCCTACGTGTTTCTAACGAGATTATCTACAACTTTCAATAATAAAATTTTACTTATTTCAGATTTTATATTTTCGCTAAATTTCACTATTTGACTTTTAATTGGAATCTCATAAGACTTCCAATAATTTATGAGTGATTCTAAACATAGTTTTACTTCATTTCTAGTAAAAACTATCTGTTAGAACTTAACACTCAATTTCTCATAATATTTCATAATATTATTAACTTTTTAATTTACATAACACGATTTCAAAACGTGTATGTTACAAAAATATGACTCCAAAATTCTTTCCTTCCCCTCACTTTCCTTCCATTAATGAAACTCGGGAACATGATTTTTCTTCGACATCTCTCACTTTCCCTCCATATCCATCCATATCCCTCCTTAAGTAGAGCTAAGTAGAACTCGGGAAGTAGGTGTAAGCGTCCGACAATCTCAGAACTTTCTTCCTAAGCAGGCTTAGACGCCTGTCAAGCCTATTATGTGATCATTGGTTTTCTTTCTGTTCGTGTTTCTATTCTCTATCGCGACTCTTAGGTTAGGGATAGTTTTCTACTGTATTCGCGGGCTATTTTAGATGGTTGGAAAGGAAAATTGGGATTGGAAGATTGGTAATAATCATGCAAAGAGTGATGCATGAAACATTGACAAGGTATATGTTGTTTTATTTTGTTTTTTTTTTTTTTGATTTTTTTTTTTTTTTGATTTTTTTTTTTTTTTAATGAATTTTCCCCTAGACTTGAATTCTAAGAAATTATGGTCTATTTGTGATTGATTCAATATTGTTTCTGATGTTCATATGGCACATAAATTATCTAAAGTTAGGAAGCAATTTGCTTATGTTCGTTTCATTAAAGTTAAGGATCGGAGACAATTAGAGCTTAGTTTACATGATATTTGGTTTAGGAATTATCATGTATTTGTATCGATTGCGAAATTTGGGATGGGTGAATCATAAAAAAGGATGGATCGATCTAAGGAAGTTCATAAGGTAGGATCGAGTGGACTTCAAGAATCTCAAAAGGGTTCATATGTTAATGCTGTGAGAAAGGGTATGATTTCACCTCCTGTTAATGCAAAATTTACTACTCCCTTGGTTCTTGAGAGTAAGGAGATTTCTAATGAATTTGCAATGAAACCATCAGTATTCTATCAGTATTCTATCAGGTTAGGAAATTTACGCTCATTCCAAATTTATTGCTTCTTCTCAAGGAAGATGGTTTTCATGAAATTACTCTTAGGTATTTGGGTGGAGATTTGGTGTATGTGGCTTTTGAGTCGGAGTTGGTGTGCTCTAAATTCAAGAATTTGCCTGCGGTTCGTGCTTATTTCTCAAACTTTAGACTGGTTGTTAATGATTTAAATGTTTTGCAGAGGGTTATCTGGATAGAGATATTGGGCTTACCATGTTGTGCATGGAATGTTGTGGCTGTGAATAAGGTGGCGAGGTTATGGGGTGGCATTTGTTTTTTGGAAGATGATCTTCTGGATCCATTGGCTGTGAAAAGAGCTTGTATTGAAACAGTGAGGACTTCCTTGAACAATGAGACTATTTGTATAGTTGTTTAACGTATTCGATATGAGTTGGTTGTTATGGAACTAAGTAATTGGGAACCGGATATAGTTAGTAATAAAGGTGATCTAGATCGTGATTTGCCTCATCTTTCTGGGGACTGGGAAAATGAAGACTTTGTATTTGAAGACAATGAGGGTATGGGCTCTCCCTTTTTTGATAATCAAGAAAAAGAGGATGGTGTTGATAGTAATAAGTGATGTGAAGGGGAACATAATCTAATAAAGGATAGAGGTGCGAGATTTGTTGATCAGAAATGTAGATTTTACCAAACAAATTGGGTGAAAAAAAGGTGTTCATTTGGTTAACCAATCGCCAGTTCATGTTGTTGCTTCTCCTAAGTCTTTTTACTGTTGCTTTAAACATAGAAAATCTTGTTCTCGACCCACTTCCGGCTACTGTTCCAACAACAACAGTAGCAGCACCAGTTGTTATTGTTGTTGCTGCTCCGGTACTGGCTGCTGTCCCGGTGGGGGCTAATGCTCATGTTAATGTTAATATCGATGATTGGTCAGATTCGCTTTCTGAACCTCCTGTTTTCAGACGTGACAATTTTGAAGGTGCATCTCCTATTAATGTTAATTCTAGAATTTTAAGTTCTCATGGTTCCTCTAAATTGTTGAAAAAACGGGTGGGTCCCATATAATGTAGAGGATATCCCGAATGTTATCAAGTTGTATGTTGAGATGCGTGGGTTACTTGGTTATGATATGGAAGGTAATAAACACAAGGTTAGGCAGATTTTGGCTAGTATTGGTGTAATTCAAGTTGATCAATGAATTGTCTCTCTTTGAATATTTGCACCACCCGTTCTTTTTCCAAAAGGGAGTGTTGTTTTTGGGGATTCAAGAAAAAAGGATGACATAATTGGATTTGTTTAGAGTTCGGAGTATGTACGGTAATGTAAACTTTGATTTTGCTTTTACTAGTTCTCGTGGGAGATCGAGGGGTTTGTTATCGATATGGGATTCGAGTGTGTTTGTGGAGAATAGTATTTATTTTACTAGTAATTTTATTAGTGTAGAGGTTTGTGGGTTCCTCTGAATATGGAATGCCATATGTTGACTGTTTATACGTCTCAAAATCTTGCTGGCAAACAACAGTTGTGGGACTATATTTCCTCATTTATCCCTCTTCAAGGTGGTAATATTATCATTTTTGGCAATTTTAATGTTGCTAGGTGTGAAGATGAAAGGTTTGGGTCTATTTTTTTTTTTTTCAAAAACTCAGCTGAAGCATTCAATGACTTTATTGATGATTATGGGTTGGTTGATGTTCTTATGATCGAAAGAAGTATATGAGAGTTGATTTTTCGGCTACTAAACTAAGTAAGCTAGATTGCTTCTCAGTTTCAGAGGAGATTTTTGATAGATTTCAAGCCTTGTAGGTGATGGTATTAGATAGGAAATGTTCTGACCATTTTCCTATTTTACTTCACGACCATTCCGTGAATTTTGGTCCAAAACTATTTAAATTCTTTAACTCTTGGTTAAATATGGATGGGTTGGATGAGGTTGTTCATAGTCATATGGATGAGTTTGTTGTTGATCAAAGTTGCAGCAATTTTGCTTTGTTAATAAAATTAATTTAATCAAAAATAGAATATGTGAATGACATGCACAAGTTAAAGAAGTCAACGATTCGAAAAAAACCGCATCTTCAAAATCAGTTTCAGTTGATAATGGTTCTGCTTCTGTTGATTTGATGAACGAGAGAAAATAACTTCTTGAGGAGCTGATTAGGTTGGAGAAAATTGATGCTCTTGATGTTGCTCAAAAAGAGAAGGTTAACTGGTTAATTGAAGGGATGAGAATTCAAGTTTTTTTTTTCATGGGATGCTGAAAAAAGAAGAGGTGTCAGATGATGATTCGTGTGGTTTCTATTGATGGAGATTAGGTTACAGATCCAATAGTTGTTAAAAATCATTTTTATGATTTTAATGTTGCCAAATTTAAAGCTTTTAATAATTTAAAGATGTCTTCCCGGAGTAACACATTTTCTACCCTCGGTTATGAGGCTGCTTCGGGTTTAGAAGCTGCATTTTCACCCGAAGAAAATAAGGAGGCGGTTTGAGATTGTGGTAGTGATCGAGCACCTGGTCCTGGGTTCTCTTTTAAATTTTCAGAACAGTACTGGGATATTTTAGGTAATGATGTCATAGCTTTTGTGCAAGAGTTTTTCTTGAAGCCTATTATTCCAGTTGGTTGTAATTTGTCTTTTATTACTCTTATTCTGAAGATTGATAACCCGCTCCTGGTGAAGGATTCCTCCCCCCCCCCCCCCCCCCCCCATCAGCCTTATTGGAATGAAATTTAAAATTATTGCTAAATTTTTAGCTAACCGTTTAGCTTTGGTCCTTCATGATTTAATTGGGGTGGAGTAGTCAGCTTTTCTTAAGCGTCGTCAAATCTTAGACGACCTTCTTATGGTTAATGAGCTAATCATGTGGAGTAAAAAGAAAAAAAGAAATTTCTTTTTTTAAGCTTGATTTTGAGAAATCGTATGATTCGATTAGCTGGGATTATTTGGATCAGATTATGTCTTATATGGGTTTTGGAGATAGGAGGTGTATGTGGGATTAGGGGTCTTTTTAAAATCTCTAGATCTTCCGTTCTTATGAATGGAAGCACTACAAATGAATTTCATTTGTTTAGAGGTCTAAGGAAGGGGGATCCAATCTCACATTTTCTTTTTCTTATTGCCATGGAAGGTCTTCATGTAGTCATGGAGGATGCAGTTACTTCTATCCTTTTTTGGGGGAGTAAATGTGGGTGATTCTAATTTGAGTATTTGTCATCTCTTTTATGCAAATGATGCGCTATTTTTGGGTGAATGGGATGAGAGAAATATTTGAAACCTTAATATGATACTTCTGTGTGTTTACATGGTGCCTTGTGACATCCCACAATTTAGGTCAAAGATTGTCAACGGTCAAGTTCACAGTAAATCTCTTTGTAATTTCACTCATTGAGTTTTAGTGCATCTTATGTGAAATAAATGAGTTCGTTTCAACTATTATAAGATAGCATGGGTATCTTACTTCCAAATATGTAATCTGGCAAACAAATCAAACAGCTCAAACTGCAACCCTAATAATGCGTCTGAAAAACTGAAATTTCTTATTAAGCAGTTGTGAGCAAAACAAACATTCTAGTCTCGTAGTACATATTTTCCTTTTTGAGAAAATATAAAGAACGTCCAAAACGGAGTTCGTATGCAAAAGATTCGACCCAGTCTATAGCATAATATTTAATTTCATATTTGAAATATTTTTAGTAAAAATATTTATAAAAGTTGAAAAATCAGACTTTTTCAGCTTAATTAAATGCAAAACTTTAACCGTCATTTGACGATCAGTATACCGGAATTCAATTCCGTCTGCGGTTCTGGAATCACCACGACCGAAACAATAAACAGGCACATTCATAATGATTTTTACACATCAAGATCTATTAACATAAACAATCGAGAAAATAGGTGACGACTTTGGCACTAAAATAATAAATTGGAAGTACATTGCATGTACTTGTGTATAACCTTACAATATCTTTTAAAAGTTACCAAAAATCAATCCCAAATATGAATTTTTGTGTATACCTTACAAATTTAATCTAGAATATATATTTTTTAGATTTTATTTTATACAACAAAAATCATTTGTAAATCTTTCAAATTGCCAAAATCCTTGAAGATCAAATTTGGATCTGATTACAATCACGTTCACACTCTACCCTTATCACCCCTCACGTACCCCCTCTCCCTCACGCAAACACCCTCAAATTCACTCATAATTTGCACAAACACATTAAGTAAGAATGATATGCTTAGTACATCCACACAATCTCTTCTGTATCACAAGTGCTCCAACCCAAAAATCTGATCAAAATCATTTCTTGTTGCTTCTAAATCTCATTCAAAGTACACAAACTATACATTCAAATCTCTCCAAAAAATGATACCTTCTTTCACTCCTGATTTCTACCTCATTCCTTCCCATTTCTGGATCGGAAGCCAAAGAAGAAAAGGAGGGGTTGGCACCGCCCATTCCAGCCTCCTCTTCACTTGCTTCTTCAATAAACAACAACCCTAAAGCACCCTTTACCTGTTGATTGATCGGAACTGCCACAAAGAAAAAGAGATGAACCAAGGAGGTTACCGAAGACCCTTTCCCTTCTTCCCGTCGAGCAAACACCATCGAACACACCAACTACGACACTATTGTTCCAACGAACCCTTTTTCTGGCCTCTTTCCCTTTGTAATATCTTAGCCACACCAAACCCCCTGCCTTCACACCCTCCTCCCGAGACAGAAGAGCACAAGATCTGCTCAAGCAGCCCTTGCTGCATTCGATCCTGTTGGATTTGGTGTCTAAGCCCATAACTATAATTGGTATGTACTTGATTAGATAGAAGCATGGTCCTTTTGGGTTTCCTTCACTCATACAACTTGACAGGATGACTAGTAGAGAGAGAGTAGAATTTATTATTTGAAATAATAAATTGGTACTCAAAATGATTTATTAATATATTACAAGGTTAATATATTATTTGGAAATTATATTATTAATTAATATTTAATCAGAAATTAATTTGATATTAATTTTGGGATTAAAGGAACTGATTAATAATGGAGGGGTTGTTTTGCAAATCTTTGATAGTTGTGAAACTGGGCTACTGGACTACTTAATAAGGAGTGGACGAAATTATATAGGGAGACCCTATAAATTTTGTCCAAGGCCTACTGGTAAGAGGTCCATGGGCTGCTTAAGCCTTAAGCAGGAAATTAGGGTTTCCTCCAGAAACCCTTGCCGATTTTCTAGTGTCTCTCCTCTCATCTTATTGCATTGGGTGTATGTGACTCCCTTAGAGGTGCAACATTTGAGGCACTAAGCTTTCAAGAGACAAGGATCATCAAGATTGACTTGTTATTACTATATACCAGGTGAGGTAGTCTTCTAACCAGTGTTGTAAAACTCGCCGAGTTGGCCGATTACTC